GTTAGCTTCTTTGCCCCCATCTGCTACCCCAGCTACACAGTCCTAGAGCCCTAGCTCTTGGCCTCGGGGAACAGCCTCTGAGCCCCCTTAAGAAGGAGGGGGGTAAGAGTTGAGAGAGGAGATACCCAGCAGGAAAAGTGTCATGGGGGTGGTGCCTGGTTCTGTGTCAGGATGCCCGGCCAAGGGCCAGGGAGGGAGTGGTGCCCTCGCCCGGTCATGAGGACAGGAGACTCATTCACTGTAAACCAAGTACAGATGTGCTGGGACGGGGAGGGGGAATTAGGGCCACATTCACAAACCACAGTTGAGTCCGCCCTCCTTCCGCCAGCCCCCAGCATCAGGGCAGGAGGGGTTAACTTTGCAGCCTCCTGGCAGGATCCCTGCCACATGGGCCAGACGCCATCCCACCCCAGCCTGGATGCTTGGGTCCAACTCCCTGACACTTGCCCCTCCCACACTGCTGAGTGCTGCTCCCAGGGTAACCAAGCAAAGTCAACAGCAGCCAGGCCACCTGGGGACGGGACCCTGGAGTACCTATTCCCAGCTCTTTCCACCCCTGGAGTGAAAGGGAGGGCCTTGTCTGCACCCCCATTGACGTCTCCTGTTCTCCTGAGATAGCCACAGCATGCCCCTTCTTTCCCCCTCTCCATCACCTGACTCTGGCTACCAAAAGAGCCCTTTCCTAGGAGGGAGGACATCTGGCCCCCAGGGTGGCAGTGAGGACAGAGCAGAGTAATTTCTGCACGGAAAATGTGATGACGTGATCAGGAGCCCACGGCCCCAGTGCTGGCCACCCTGGGATTGTTGCTGGGGGAAGGTCCTTTGGGTGCATCTTTCCAGCCCAGTTCAGCCCCTATTACTGCTCCCCTTCTCTCCTTTCTCACTCCCACCCTCCATCCCGTTGGGAGTGTCTGGGGTCCATGCCCAGAGCCTGGACTTCAGACCCCTTCTTTTCTCTCACTCTGTCTTCAGTAGAATGGGGACAAACCCCTGGGTTCCCACTGTTGGGCTGAGAGTCTTTGTGGTCATGTTGAAGTCAGAGAGTGTCCCCATCAGACACTGACACTGACACTGACCCTGGGCATGCGTGCACGCGTGCGCGTACACACACACACACACACACACACACACACAGAGTCAATAACATTCGTGGCGCATCTACCAGGCAAGCAGGCGCTGGTTAAGGCAGACACACACCCTCTGCTTGGGCTTTCTCCCTCACACCCAGCCCAAGGCTCCTCCCACTCCCAGCTACAGTTCCTCCGGCCCTCACCAGTCTCTCCTCCGCCAGACCCAGGCTCCCTAAATCCCGAGTTTACTCAAGGCAGGGTGAGAGGAAGAGGTCTTCCAGCCCCTGGGCCTGAGCACCCCCCAAATCCCACTAATTAAACCAGTTTGCTCCTGGCACCAAAAGACCACCTGGGATAGGCTAGGGGAAGTAGAGACTACCTTGACCTGCAGGTGAAGGCTAAGCAAAGGGTAAAGACAGTGGCCTTTGCTTCGTACCCCAGCGCCATCACTCCACCCCCGGGGATGATGAGGATACAGCTCCCATTGCCTCCCCTGGAGAGGTAGCAGAGACTGGCTTCACTGAACCACACAGCCTGGCCAGAGAACCCAAGCAGTCCCCCTAAATGGCAGGAAGGGGAAAAGTGCCAGAGAGAAAGGGTGGCATCATGGGCCCAGGACACTGACCTCTTCTGCCAGCCTTGCCCGGCCTCCTGGGGATGGAGCCACGGAAGCCCAGCAAATGGGAGGGGCAGAGACCCGGGCGTCCCGGGCTGCCCCGCCCCGCCCAACCCTCCCCCCCAGCCCCCCCTCCCCCCTGCCCCTGGGCACCGTGGAGGGAGCCGGGCAGGGGCAGGCGGCAGGGGAGGGAGGAGCGAGGGCGGGAGGGGGAGGAGGGAGCCGGGCTGGGAGGGAGGTGGGGGGGGGTGGGGAGCGGGGGGGGCGGGGAGGAGAGTGTCTGGCGGGGAGGAAGGAAGAATCTATCTGAGAAAACACTCACTCTGCCTTTCTTTTTTTTAAGATTTTATTTCTTTATTTGACAGAGAGAGAGCCCCGGGGGGGGGGGAGAGGCAGAAGGAGAAGCAGGCT